GTATAAGAAGGGGCTTTGGGGGATGGGGGTGGTATGTTTTCTTTGAGTAAAGAATATTGTGAGTGTTTGGGAGAGCCGGCGGTCTCTCGAAGAACCGACCAACTGTTAATGTTTTCTGCTGAATGAATACTAGTTTCTTTTGTTGATGTTCGAGTGTGTGAACGCTGCTGTAAGTCTGTGAACTACGTGTCAAATTTCTGGGTCATATCAGTGTCCTCTGTTTCCTTCGGTCTAAACTGGAATTTAGGCTTTAGGAGAGATTTAAGGGATTTTGAGCTTGACCAGGTTGTCTTGCTCCTTAAAACTCTTGAACCTATTTGTTTGGACTCCTCTCCTGATAGTCACATTTGGTTGCCTAATTCCTTGGGTTCCTTTTCCTGTGTTCTCTTTTTTCTTGTCTCTGTGCTCAAATCCTAATCCTTAGCCATTTCTTAGCATGGAGGTTTGGTCCAAGCCTATCCCTTCAAAAGTTGGGGCCCTCTGTTGGGAAGTATGTCTTGGAAAAATAAAACACTTTGGATGTCTTGCAAAAAAGAAGACATGGTCTTTGCATCTCCTAAATTGGTGTACCCTCTACAAAGCAAATGAAGAAAGTTGTTTCCATTACTTATCTCTTGTTCTTTTGTTGGAGGCCTTTGGGAGAAGCTTTTTAATCTTTTTGGATGCAGGTGGATAGAACCAAGGCAGATTTGCAACCTCTCTGACCCCACAACCTAAGGTGGCAAAAGAAAAGAGGTAGAGTCCTGTGGAGGTGTGTGGGAGTTGCTTTGGTGTGAACTGTTTGGGAGGAAAGGATTGCCAGAATTTTTTAATGATAAGGAGAGTAGGAGAGGATGGGAATGGTCTGTGGGAAAGCATTTTAAAAAGGGCCATATGTTGGGCAAAGACATTGAACCTTTTTCAACCTTTCTCCTTTGATGACATGTGGAGGAATTGGGTGCAAATTGCCAAAAGTTCTGCTGTTAGAATTAAGCCTTTGGTGGAGTGGAAACCCCCTGAAGACGGTGTTGTTATATTAAATTTTGATGGCAGCAGCCTAGGTAATCCAGGGCTGTTTGGAATTGGGGGAGTTTCCAGTAATGCTGAGGGCCAGATCTTAGGTGACTCTAAACTGGTTATTGGGTGGTTTAAAGAGCTGGAGACTACAACCTGGTTCTATACAGGGGCTTTGAGATGGTTAACATCAAACATATTAGTCACAGCTCAATGGGAAGAAGATCGGCAAAGGGGTTGGCAGATTCTTTAGCTAAACAAGGGGTACATAGGAATCAGCTTTTTTGGGCTTAGTTGTAAGCTTTATGGTATAGTTTAGAGGCGGCACCTCTTGCCTCTTTGTGGGGTTCTATCAAAAAACAAATGGAAAATGGCTGGGTTGCATGTGTATCTTTCGAGGCTGATTTGGTATCTCCCTGGAAGGTTATTCATGGCATCCTAACTCTTTTTTTTTTTCCAGTTTTATAAGGTATGATGTTTGCTTTGGGATTCTGTTTGGTTTTGTGAAGATACTTGGCTTGGTAATTTTGTTAAGGATCTTTTCCCTTCTTTGTTTTCCTTATCTTTGCTTAAAGACACCAATGTCAAGTTTCATTACCCTCCTTTACTTCCCTTGGATCACAACTGGAACTTTGGCTTTCATAGTGGCCGGTGAATGTTGAGTCTGAGGATGTGGTTGACCTTTTGCATCTTAATAATGTTTGCCTAGATCCCTCTAAATTTGATAGGCAAGTGTGGGCTCATCCCAAGGGTGTTTTTTCTTGCACTTCTTTTTTCCAATCTCTCTCTTGCCCTTCCCCCAGGTTTTTCCATTCTAATGAAGTTTGGTGTAAACCAGTGCCCTCAAAATAGGCGTGTCTTATTTGGAAGTGTCTCATGGAAAGAGGTTAACACTTTGGACATCTGGCAAAAAGACCATCTCTTTGCTTATCCCCAAATTGGTGTATTCTATGCAAATCTATGGTGAGAGTTGTTTCCACTTGCTAATCTCTTGTTCTTTTACTGTTGACATTTGGGAATGATTATTTTCTTTATCTAGGTGCAGATGGAACTTGCCAATGGGGGTAAATGGTCAATTTGATCCAACTACTATTGTTATGCCTAAGAAAAGGGGAAGGATTATGTGGAGATGTATAAGAGCATCTTTGATTTGGACCATTGGGGAAGAGTGGAATGCAAAAATCTTTCTAGAGAATGAGAAAAGCAAGCAAGCAGTGAAAGAATGTATGATGAAGGGCTATTCATTGGTTGAAAACTCTGGACAACTTCTTACATTTTTCAGAAAACTTAAATTGACTGAAACCCCAATCACCAAAAAATTAAGAAATTGCTGCTGGTTTAAGAATATGTAGATTTTATTGAAAGAATATGTATAAATTTGATTTCTTCTAACATGATTTCTTTCCTTACTTCCATGTTTATCACAGTCTTTAGATTTTGTTATTTCTTCTTCTTCTTCTCTCTTCTGTGGTAGAGTAACACTATTATTTTTGATGCTCTCTCTCTCTCTTTTTTTTTAATCTTCTCAGGAAAGATCACCAACCCTTCAGGCAATACTTTCGGGAGAAGCAAGCATTACTTCATCCAAGGAGTCTAGCCGACATGGGCAAAGGCAACGCACACTGGCTATACTTCACCAGATGATTGAAGATGCTCATAGGGGAAAGCGACAATTTTTGAGTGGTATCTATTTCTGGAAGTCTTGAGATGTGTATGTTCTTTTTTGTTGTGAAACATTTGTTACTGAGCCCTTTATGATTTATTTGTCATTTGGAATTTCAGGGAAGCTTCATAATCTTGCTAGAGCTGTTGCTGATGAAGAAACAAATACAAATCTTATTAGAGGGGAAGGACCTTATTCTGATAAGAAAATGGTCTCAAACTTTGATAGGGATGGAGTGCTTGGGCTTGGGCTGGGAGTCATCAAACAAACACCCTTTAGGTCAGCAACTGGAGACAACAACCTGCAAGCTGCTGGTTATGATATGAAAGATACTGGAAAGAGATTATATGGTCCCCTGAGTTCCAAACCTACTACATATCTTTCAGCATTTATTCTGTACATAGCAACAATTGGCGACATAGTTGATGGGATTGATACAACTCATGATTTCAACTTTTTCTCACTTGTATATGAATGGCCTAAAGATGTAAGAATTCTGTTTCCATGTTATTCCTTGGGTCTTTTTAATTTGTTATTCAAAGCTTGCTTTTTTTAGTATTGAAATTTTGTGGTCCTACACACTCTTGTAAAAGGAAACCTGATAAATTTTGTTGGATTAAATTTTGCTTTTCTGGGTTGGACAACTTGATTAGTTTATTTATTTAGTTTTTGAACTAGCTACATTTGATAGTGTTTGGTCTTAATCTCTTAGGACATATGTACAACTATTTTTTTTTGATCAGCAAAGAAGGATTAGTTTTATTAATTTGAGAGAAGATGAAAACAGAGTACAACCAGCAGAAAAAGCAGTCAGAGCTACATAATGATTTACAATACTGCCCAGAAAAGATGTTGTCTTTAAACTCCATGTTTTGCTAGAGAGTCAGCCATCCCATTCGCAGTCCTGATCCAAGTGAAAGTGGCATTTAGTTCCCTTGCTAAACTTTCAATCTCTTGCAAGGAATGTCTATAAATCCAAGGAGCATTACCTCTGAAGTTAGACCAAGAAACCACGAGTTTTGAGTCTCCTTCAACCTCCATGTTTTTAAAATCTGCTTGTTTGGCTAGTTTTAACCCCTGAAGAAGTGCTAGTAGCTCAGCCGTATTTGAATCTCCAACCCCTATAGGGGCCCTGAATACATAGCCAGCACTTTGTTTGTTGAATCTGAACATACCCTCTATGCTTGTCAATCCCGGGTTCCCTATGGAGCTGCCATCAAAATTCAGCTTTAATTTATTTGGAGCTGGGGGCTTCCATTCCATCCCCATCTTTTCTTTCTTCTTAGATGAAAAAGCCACTTCTTTCCAAGCCCGCAATATATCAGCCACTGATAATCTTTGGAACATCTCAAGTATTTTTACCCAATGAGCAACTTTTATCTTTATGATTTCCACCAAATCTTATTTTGATCTGCACTTTCCATTGAAGATTGTTGCATTCCTTTCCTCCCAAATCGTTCATATCACAACCAGTGATTTAAAAGGTGCGCCTCAAGCGTGCCTAGGCGCACAGGCGAGGCAGCCCTTTCAAAAGGCGCACACCTGGTGCGCCTAGGTGTGCGTCTAATGCGCCTTGCGCTTAAGCCCAGGCGTGCGCCTTTTGAAAATTTGACACTTTTTTGCTTTTTTTGAACATAGCAGCTAGGGCCGGGGGCTCCGCCCCCGGACCCTGTGCCACACCCCTCGAGGCAAGCCCAAACAAGTCCACGTTAGGTCTTAAATTCTTAGTTTTCACACAAGAATTAATGATTTTATAGTTTTAATTGCTTTTTAAGAAGACATTTTATTAGGATGAATGAATGAACAACATTACCAAATTGGGGGTTATCGGAACTTCGGTTATCCTTCCACCATTGGGATAAGTAGTTCCTCTTCCACATAGCCAATTTCTTTTGTGAATCTCTCTACCATTGGTTTCCAAAAGACCTCTGATCTAGGGTTCCCTTCCAAGGGTAATCCTAAGTACTCTAAAGGCCAATGCTTGATCTCTCACCCAAAAGTCTCTGCTATCACTTTCAAATTTTCATCTTCCAAAATTATTACTGCTACAGAACTCTTTCCCCAATTAATCTTCAAAGTGGAGACTGATTCAAAGGAATTGATGATTTCTTGCAGATTTGATATAGAAACTTGGTTGCCTCCCTCACAAAATAAGATGATATCATCTGCGAACTGCAAATATGTTACTGCAACCTCCATTCTTCCTACCCTCCAACCTCTAAGCAGATTATTCTGATTGGCCTTCAAGATCATCCTACTTACGACATCTGCAATTAATGTGAATTGGAAGGGAGATAGGGGATCCTCTTGTCTCAACCCCCTTTTTTCTGGAAAGTAATCTCTAGCCACACCATTAATCAGAATCGAATATTGTATACAACTTAAGAAACCCTTCATCTACATCCTCCACCTTCCCCTAACCCAATTTTCTCCATGATTTCTAGAAGGAAAGACCAATCCGCAAAGTCATAGGCCTTCTTGTTGGAAAACGTGGGATTACTGGTGTAGATGTATATTTTGTAATTAGCATTTATATTTGGTAATTGTGTAAAAATAGAAATATGTGAATATTTATTCCTAGGATTTTGGAAAAATATAATCCCTTAAATATGGGGATTAAAAAGGTTAGTCCCTTAATTATAGGGATTGATTCCCTTAATTATAGGGATTGATTTAGAAAGCTTTTTTTTTTTTCTATTTATTGCAGCAGCTTACTGTATAAATATGCCGATTGACAATGAAGCAGATCAGTTTTCTACCATTACAAACATGGTATCAGAGCTCTAGGTTTGCCAACCTTGAGAATTTTTTTCGGCCTTCATTGCCAGTTTTTTCTCTTCGTGTTTTTCTGGTCTTCAGTGTTGATCTGTAACCAAAAGTGTTTCTTTATTCTCCTTTATTCTGGCCAGTTTTTCCCTTCTTTATTCTCCTTTCCTGCTGGCCTTATTCTTCCTCCATTAACAATGTCCGATGTGACTGTAACAAGTGCTCCCGTCCAAACCGATGAAGGAGCAACGAATTCTCATCCTCACACCGGTGATTTGTAGAATATTCAGGCAACATATAGACTGAATGGCCAGAACTATTTGAAGTGGTCACAACTAGTGCGTACMTATTTGAAGGGAAAAGGAAAAATTAGTCACCTTCTTGGGACAGGGCCAAAGCTGGGCGAGTCAAATTTTGATGCTTGGTACGAAGAGGACTCCATGATTATGTCATGGTTGTGGAGTTCAATGACACCCAAGATCAGTGATACTTGTATGTTTCTCCCCTCTGCAAAGGCTATTTGGGATGCTGTCCGACAAACCTATTCTAAAGCCCATGACGCTGCTCGTGTCTATGAGGTCAAAGTGAAGACAGTGGCGGCCAAACAAGGGAGCAAAAGTGTTACTGAGTATGCAAATCTGCTGCAAAATTTGTGGCATGAGCTTGATCATTATCGGGTCCTTGAGACAAAGTGCCTCGATGATGCTATGATCTTGAAGAATTTTATTGAAAGAGATAGGGTGTATGATTTTTTGGTTGGATTGAATGCTGAATTTGATCAGGTCCGAATACAAATTCTCGGCAAAGAAGAAGTGTCTCCATTGAATGAAGTCAGAGCCCTTGTCAGAGCTGAGGAAAGCCGCCGTGGAATCATGCTTGAGCCTAAAGATCCCGAAGGCTCRGCCATKGTGGCAAGGGGAGGAAATTACAGTGGTTCAAAGGGTGAGAACAATCACAACTTGGCTCGTGACACAACCGCCCGTGACTCTAACGATAACCTCTGGTGCACCTATTGCAAGAAGCCCAGACACAAAAGATCGCTGCTGGAAACTTCATGGGAAACCTTCCACATCCAGCAAGGAATGGGGAAATCGAGGAGTTTCGAAAGCAGTTTAACATGCCCATAATGTCTCCACAATCCCGTAGGAAAAACACTCAAGTCAGGGGCCATTTAATGATGAAGAAATTGAAAGGCTAAGAAGTTTCCTGAAATCCTTGAAACCAGGAAGTGGTTCTACCTCGCTCTCTCAGGTGAGTCTTTATCTCTAAGATTAAATGTCTCAACTAGTGTTTTTCCATGGATTCTTGATTCTGGAGCTACTGACCACATGACACCCTCTTCACTACATTTTCT